AAAGTAGGGTTTATAAAAAAAAGAGAGACCTAGAAAAAAAATCTTCAGAAAAAAAAAAAAACCTAATTTCAGTAGAGAAAGAGAAAAAAGAAAGAGAAGGAATGAAATATATAAAAAAATATGTAGAAAAAAAGTATGAAAATAGGAAAAAGAAAATAAAGAGATATAAGAGAGAAAGAATAAAGAAGAAGTGAAAAAGAAGTAAACAACTCAAAAACTTTCTAAAAAGAAAATTTTTAAGCATAGAAAGAAAAGTGGAAAAGTGTTTTTTTTTTATAATAAAAATCTAAAACATATTAATATAAAAAGATATTTATTTTTTATATAATAATTAAAAAAAATATTAGATTTAAAAAATTTTTTTACAAATGATTCATTATTTTAATAAGCCACTGTATATAATTTTAAATAAAAAAAATATTTTTTTTAAAAAAGCAAATGGCTATTATACTTTATTATATTTATTATATATATATATATATTTTTTGATAAACATCAGTTCTTTATTACACATATATACCAAGATATAACTTTGAAAAAGAACCTACATCTCTCATAGTACATGAGTTAAATGCTAGTTTATCAAAATATCTATCTAAACTATATTAGAAAAAAAAATTTAAAACTAATATACTGTTTAGATAGTTGCACAACAGACCATGCAATTTTAGTGAAAGATGGAAAGAAGAAATAAGAAAAAAAAGAAATTAAACACATATTAATATTAAGTAAATAACTTTTCACATCACAACTTCAGCTCACATAGCTATAGGAATAGAGAGGGGCTGACATGGGTATGTACTTTCTAGTAAATGCTTCGAAACTGTAATCTTTGGTTAACACAGACTATCAAATCTTGTGGGCTTCAAAGGCCAAGTGGAATGCAACTCCAAAATTTCCTAGTAGACACTCTAAAGGATTCAGTTGGCTTAAGCTGTCAAATCTAGGAGCAAAAATTGCCAAGCAGGACATACTGTAACTCCTACATACTCGGTAAGCTGTCAGCATTGCCATGTTTAACGCACATACATTAGTGTCCACATTATTGTTCTCTTCAAGGTTATCTATTTGATATTAACATGTGATAGACTATTGGTAATGGTATTGTTGTTGTTGTTATTGTCATTATAATAATCGATGATACAATTTTAGTGAGTTGTGATTGATTGAAATATAATGTTAATCTTTTGATGAAAGTAAACTGATTTCGGTTTTTGTTATAAAAAAAAGAAACCAGTGTGCTTCTGTATATATGAGCAAAAAAGATATCAAACCAAAAACCTTTCTCTATGCAACCTTTATCCACAAGATGCCCAGTCTTGGGGAATTCGACCAAGAGTCCCATCCTTATACAGCTTGAGTCTTTACAACCAAACTCTTAAAATTGGCTCATATTTAACAGGTCTTTAGGATATGTAAGGCTTGTTGTATCGATATTAGCAGAGGTAACTCTTTGTCTTGAAGAAGCAGAGCTAATCTTTTATCCAATAAATCTGGGATTTGACCTTCCACCTATAATACTCAACTCTACTTAGCCTAAACCTCTTAGGCTATCACGAAAAAGGACAATTAGTCAGCTTCTTTAGAAGAGAATTTTTATTCTCGATAGTGGTAAAAGAAGGGAAATGTTTCTTTTTAGAGAAAAAGATAACTTGACAAGATCCTAAACTTGTCTCGTTAAAGTTTCTTAAAAAGAAAAGTTTTTCAAAAATTTGAGGGAAACAAGAAAGAGTTTTTTTTTATATTTATTATACTTTTACTTGCAAAACAAAATATAATATTAATAGCATAATATATGTCATTCTTACTAAGAAGAGTTTAACACAAGACTCTTATAAAGAGATCTAATCCTTATACTTTTTTGGTATTATTCAAGAAATATAGAAAAACAGAAATTCTAAAATCTATATTATTGCCTTAAATAATATTTAGCTATTTAAAAAAAAACAAATATCTAATTACATGAAAGTGCTATAACTAATTTATACAGGATGACCTTCAAATTATAATTAGGGTTAATATACTTGCTTTTCAAATATAACTTAATATATAGCAAGTGAAATAGTATTGGTAATAATGAAAGATAGATATCTTTTTATATAAAAGTGTTGCTGTCACTTTATATAAATTTGTTTTCAAGTCATAAAAAAAATTTGGCATATTTATATTTCAAGTATAGCAAAAGTGTTCTATGAATAAAGTTTATATTGATTTTCTTAATAGCATTAATCTAACTTTATATATTGTTTGAAAGTTAAGCAATAAACTTTTTGTTATTATTATCAGCTTGTTTATAGGAATAATTAGAATTTCTAATTATCATATATTATCATATTAAGTTTTTTAATTATCAGTATAATACTTGCAACTAATCTAACTTATTGTTAGTTGCATTAATATTAATTACTATTTTATTCCGGATACTATAAGATACAACTTCTTGGATATTTTTAGATAATAATAGTTATATAAAGATTTCTTGAGCATATTTAGTCTAATTACCAATTAATAAATAATATTGAATTTGGTAATAATAATTATATCAATTTTTTGGAGAAAGTAAACCATTTATTTTTTTTTGAAGAGACTATAAAAAAAAAAAACTTTTTGAAATCCATATTCTAAGAAAGATTATTATTTCATAATATAGTCCTTGAGAGAAAAGAGTCTATTAATTAGAAAATGATATTATAGAAATGAAGTTTTCTAAAAAAAAAAGAGTTTTAGAAAAGATAACTTTTAAGAAAAAAAAAAATTCAATTTTGACAAAAAAAAAAAGAAAAAAGAGAAAAGGGAGAATATAAAGTATAAAAAAAGTGTATAAAAAAGAGAAAAAAATAGGAAAGGAAAAAGAAAAGATGAAAAAAAAAGTAAACAATTTAAAAATTTTTTAAAAAGAAAATTATCAAGTGTAGAAGGGAAAATGGAAAAGAGTTTTTTTTTTTTTAATTTTAAACAAATTTCAAAAATATTTTTTATATATTGTTCAATAAAATCCAATAAAGTTATTAATTGTTTAATAATAAATTTCAATAATAATTATTGTTCAAAAGTTTTACAATATTGTTTAATATCTTGTTGTTTAATGACTTTTAATTTTTCTTTTAATATTTTATAATAATATTTTAATTTTGTATTGATATAATCATATTAATTTCAATTCTTATAATTTTTGGTAACATATTAAATAAATATTTTTATTATTAACAGTTCAATTATATAATTGTTATTTTATTAATATTATTATTTAATTTGATTCTTGTTTTTCTTAAGTTAGAATTAAATTGTTTTTTTTAATTATAGTAATATGATTATAACTTAACGTGCATTTAGAATAGTCTATAAATAGTACTTCTTGTACAAGAAATACAAACGTAAACTAAATGATGCACGTTGGGCAAGGTCTAATTAATCGAAAAAAAGTTGTTAAATGATAATATAAAATAAAAATTTATATGATAAACACCAAAAAAAGGGTTTTTTTTGATAAAAATGCTTTACATATAAGATAAGCACATATAATTTAAGGTTTATTTATTTTTAAAAAATTTCATGTTTTATTTAATTAGATATTATTATTTTTTTTAAAAAAATTTTTTTTTATAAGATTAATATAAATTATGTAAAGTTGTGAGTTGATAAGATTTCGTGTAAAAGATAAATAAAAAAAAATATACAGTTATATACAGTTATCAAGTTTATTAAATTTGAGCAATTCTTTTTTTTTTTAAAAAAAAACACATTTTGCATCAAACAAACAAAACATACATGTGATCTATATTTTGATTTATTAAACGAAAGAAAATTAGATGAATTCATGATACATCAAATGACGGAAGATGTGATGATATTTTAAGTTTAAAAGGAAAAGGATCGAAGATGATAATAGGAACTTTTCGAATATACAGATTGTTCCCCGTGCGATCTCATTACAAATTGAATTGTGAAAGTTCTGAGTTGTAAAGAGAATCATCATAACTTCAAACAAATATAACGATTGGACTTGCGATAAATAAAAACAAAATTTAATTCATAAATAAGGGCCAAACCTTAAATGAATTAATTAAATATTCCTCTTGATTCGAAAGAAGAAAATTTCTTGCGATTTCCTTTATTGGCACGTTTCAATGCGTGTCGAGAAAGATTCGTACGACGTTACATAGGAAAGAAGGATTTGGGAAATTCCATTTAAGGCTTCTGTTCTCGATGGCAATTATTCAAGCTTAGGCTGAAGGAACGAAGTGAATTTGGAACAAATAATCAAAGATAAATTGAGAAGAAATGAATGAGATAATCATACGTACGCACTTATATTAAGAAGTAATATGGACCGGTAACACGTGTGTTCTACGTGTAACGATTTGCACGCGGTCTTTCAGATTTCAGATATTACCACATTTGAATGCACAATTAATTAATTAGTAATGGAACTTACGTTGACGATCCATTCTTTATCTTGAGCATCTGGAAAATAACGCACATCTTCTTTTCTTTTCTCCATCATTCGCACTAATCGCCATTATACCAATTTTGCATTAATTTACGCACTCGACCACAGATCCTAGAATTTATTATTGAATGTTGTGATGGTCTTTCGCCGCGCTTTCGGTCACCCTAAACCGTATGTATCCATGTAATTTAACAGATATGCACTTTGATAATTTTCCACGTTGAAAATATAAAAAGTCCAAACAAATAGAAATCCAAATATCGACACTCACACTCTCACACGCGCACATCAACAAAAACTTTAATTTATCGGAATAACACCAATGGTAAACAAACAGTCGGATAGAATACCTGAAGTGGTAACTGTCCACTTAGATTATGTACGTACTTAATTAATGAAATGAACTATTGACAGACAAAGGTCATTTGAAATATGCAGTAACCGAATAAAAACCTGAGTCAAAAATTAGTTCAAATACATCAAATGGAAGATCAATCGATCACTCCTGAATTCTTTGGTATCAGGAATTACCGTAATCGGTATCACCATTTCATATCAGTGCGTGCGTGGAATTTCGAAGTAGGAAGTTATCGTTAATCGTTAATACATATACCAAATGAAATGGATTCACACAGTTTGCCCTCATTTGGATGATGCCTTTGTCACCCGCTCGCCATTTCGCATTTGGAATGATGATGAGTGTGATATGCTCGGTATCCGATCCATCTCGTGTGATATATATGAGTGATATCAGATATCGTTTATGATCTGGGTGACTAAATCGTGATGCATACGGTGGTTGGTTGGTTGGTTGATGTCGTCGTGTGGGTATGTCGGTTTGATCAATTGAAAACGAGTACATACGCACATAGTCATAGTACAGTATATATTCGATCATGGATATATCACGAATCGAGGTTTGTCGTCATAAATGACGCTAGTGAAAAACGGTAATAATTATTTCCACAATTACTTAATTACCAAAGTGGTTAATTCATGTTTAATGCCAATTATGGAAAATGTTCATCAGTTTGGTGCATAAGAACACGAGGAGATTGTTACTGTGATTGATTACTAATTTATGAAAAATTTTAATCCATATATCGTTGTGTAATGAATTATTTTGTTATTGTTTTGTCATCGCACGCGAAGGAAGGATCGAGTGATTAATTGTTTGCTATCGTTATCAGCGATGGTAAGTGGTTCCTTAATCTGTTCAAGAGGTAAGTGCATGTGGGAATTTTTAAAGGATGAATGTGAATAATTCCCATAAACGATTCTTGAAATGATTCTTGGAAAGTGGATGAGCGAAACGTGTGAACGATCGTAAACAAAATGAAATAATTTAATGCATGCCGACGCGTACCGTATGTGCATACGTTCGTGAGCAAACAGTAACCCAGGATGGGATCTTCACGAGTAAACAACAAAACATTGCGCATTCAAAAAAAACCATTCACAAATTCTCGCGAAACTCGTGATATCTATCATCGTGGAGGTTAAATGGTTGACCGAACATGCACATTGATTGAAATTACTATGGTCACGTCGTCGCATGAAGCACGTGTTGATCCCAATAGAACGCGTCCATTAAACGTTATTTCCTGGGTACGGGTAGAGGGGCTAACGCATGTTGGCAACAAAAAGAGGTCAATACGCCGTTAAAGGCGATTTACTTAATTACTCGAATTCCCCTTTTTGATGATGAGAGCGTGTATTTGGATATGCACCTTTTTTTAATTTTGGGATTTTTAATTAAAGCACGTTTTTTTTTGTTCTCCTCCATGGGGAGGAGAACCTGATTTGATTGCCTGTTTTTCGAACACTTATGTCACCAGTGTCACTCTCGCGATCTCTCTGATGGCAACAAACAATCCCTGAAAAACTCATTAGAAAAATTTTCTTAAAAACCAGTTGTGAACCCTTAGTCATCGATCACATACATGACAATTGTTGCCAATCGCCCCTTAACATGTAATCCATCTCCTTTTGACGCCAATATTCGGTTTTCTCTTACGGCGTTGGTTTTTGTTTACCAGTTGTTGCGCCAAGAAGAATGTTACTTGTCATCTTTCACCACCAGATGGATGAAACCTTTCAGACATTTTCGACACCCTCCCCCCATATTCGTCCGGTGTACCGTGAGACCACCTATACGCGCGCGCGCATCGAGAGTCTCCAAGTGCGTGCGCGTGTTTGCATTAATTGTCACCTCTCGGATGAATTTGTTCAGACATTTACGCCTTGTTTCTACTTCTACGCATCATTTCTAATTTCACACAATTATCTTATCTTCTGTATGTGTTCTCACCGCTTTACTCCGACCCACCTGGTTCTATATGCCTTGATGTTTACGTGTACGTGAATACGTACCGAACGTACACGCACACATAAAACTTCGCCACCGTTATCTTCATTATCTTATCATATTGTGCATCTTAATTTAGATATATTATTCTCCTCTATGCCTCTATGGCGACGGTAGCCCTAAGACAATGGCTGAAGCATGAATAACCGCAACCATATGACCACCTTTCCAATGTAACGTGGAACGTTCACCTATCATCAATCCTAATCAAAAATCTATAATAAAGATAGGTAATTTTGGTATCTAACATTATCACTTAATTGTCAGGTCATTCCTAATATGTATATTTGTACATCGTGCAAGAACAATAGCAAATTTTCATACACTTTCTTACTTGGGACAGCGATAGCTAATTTTTAATATGTTCAAATCCGGCAAAAACGACTAATTCGTTTGTGGGTAGAAATACGCACGTAAGTACATACAATAATTTGCCATTATTGTACCTTGTCATTTTGATGTTTTTATTAGTTATTTTATTAGCGTCGCTACGCGTGCTGTCCAAGACCATTGGAATACGAAATAACCCAGCTATAGATCATCATCAGTCTAATATCCGGTGATGATTAATCATCAATCACTGATGCACCAAATTTTGATTTTATGTGAGATAACACGCCGTTGATGATAATCAATCAACTACCGCAGCGATAATGAAAAATTAAGGTTTTCTTATTGAAAATAAAAATTCCGATTGGTCAGAAGCTAATTAACAGGCATTTATTGAAGCGCAGTTGCACAGCAGAAATTGGTTCTTATTCACACATTATGCATACGTGCACATAATGTGCATCATATTTTTTTTGCTAACTATAGCTTTTAGATTATGTTATGTTAGCACGTCACTTATCTCATTGTCCTTACCGTCTCATGGATTTAGTCGTGTTTACCCATTGTTACCAATGGTAGACACTCATCGTGAGTTCTGTTTGAAATGCGCACGGGTGATTTCTCCGCAAGTGATGGTGACAGATGGTGTGAGTGAGTGGTAATGTGGCGGAATCGATCCTCGGAGGGATGCGAATCATTGGAAGAGGAGGAAAGGCTCGGTGACATAATGCGCATACAAATCACAAGACTCCTACATAAATCGATTTATGGCAGAACGGTATCAACCCAAATCCGTAGCTTACGAGATGTGAGATACTGTAAGAGTTTACAGATTGCATTCAAAGTAACTGTATCACTACCTTAAACGGTAAATACCAACAAGGTATTTCTTTGAAGGTATTATTTCTTTTTTCCCAACGGTACATGATATTGACTGACATACAGATTACTTTTTCGTCAACATAAAAAAAATTTTTTTTTTTATTCATATTTGAACTTCTGTATTCTGTGTTCTATGCAAAACGAGTTTTTTTTTTTTTTTTTTTTTGCAATTATTAAAATTGCAGATTATTCATTAAAGAAGGAGGGACTTGCAAAAAACGGGGTTGGCATCTTGAAAGTGGGGAATGTCTTGTTACCAAATTTGGTTCGGAAGTTGTTAGTTTAGGTCAAAGGGTTTGTGCACTTAAAAAAAAAATCGTGAAAATTAAACTGATGCGGAAAACATTGTTGTTAGAAAAACAAACTGATCGTAAACAACGCCCAAAGGATAATCCTATGGGAATTTGGGTAACGGCCACGCTTTTTGGTGACTTTTATGTTTGCTCCTCTATTTACATGAATTATTAGTTTTATCATCTACAATCCGAACACCAATAGAACCGTTCTCTCGTTTCCTCCTTCCCACACACTTCCACCTTTACTCTATCATCTCCGAATATTGGATCAAATATGGTATTCCAACCACCGACCTCATCCATTCTTCAATTCTATTATAAATCCTCATCATTGTGACCGCTTTTGATTTTTTTTTTTTCTCTTTTCTCCTTTGTCTTGTTTTTTCTTCCCTTTTTTATTTTTTTAAAAGAACAAAAAAAAAAAAAAAAAAAAAAAAAAACCAAGCGCATCATTTGTCCCATTCAATTCTTTGAATATCTTTTAATTCACTCTCCACACGTTCTCTTTTCGGTTGTGTGTGTTGGGTGATTCCGTGGTCCGATCTTTTTTTTTTTTTTTTTCTTCTTCTTCTCCTCCTCCTCCAGTATATTTTATTTTAATTTTCAATTTCCTTTCTGTGCTGTATCATATATATATATTTATCGTAGCCTGTTGTACTATAACAATAAAGAAGAATTATTCTCAATTTATAAGGTTCCCCGTGATTCCGTCGACGCAAAAAAAAAAAAACCCTGCAATTTGTGCGAAGGAACGAAAGAGGAAAACGCGTAGATCCCACATCAATCGCCAATTCTCTCTTTCCTGTGAACTCTTTTTTTTTTATTTTATTTTATTGTATTTTTATCGTTACCCCGCATTCTTTCCAATCGATCCATTTACACCGCACCAAACCCTTCATTGATTCACAGTATCGTACACATATAATTGATTTCGACTCTTGATGTAAGTATATTCACATATCGGGTAATTAGTGGGCAACGTGCGTGGTCCCCTAAAAAATTGTTTAATTTTTTTTTTTTTGCTTATCACCCCTTCCCCTACTCTTCCCCCCCAAAAGAAGAAATATATAAAAAAAAAAAAATTAGAGACGTGCATTAACTACATAAAAGAAAAATTCATTTGGTTCCTCTTCTGAGGTTTACTTTTTTCCTGTGCCCGGCCGTTTTTAGATTATATTTTCCCACACTGGATTTTTGTATAAAAGAAACTAAAAAACGCGAACTTTTTACCACTTTCTTCTTTACGCTCCCTCTTTTGCGCGCGTCTTCTTCTCCCTCTTTCAATTTCATGTGCCACTTGAGATTAATCGCAGCCACCTTCGAACATTTTTCTCATCCGAAAAGAACTATCATTATTATTTTTAACGTCTCTTTTTCTTTCTCCTGTTCAAAGACATTCTGCTCAAGTTTTGAACTAATGACTAGCAATTAGATTGCCCTCGTACATATAAAAAAAAAAAATAGATATTGTAAATACGATTGCTAATAGAATATATATATATATAATTATACAATATATATTGTTCAGTATACAAAATATCTCTATCTACAAACAAACCTCCCTTCCTTCCTTTCTTCTTCGTCCTCGGTTTTTTTTTTTTTTCTTTCTTCTTCGACGGATCAAAAACTACCCGACCTTTCCTTTTTTTTTCGTGTCCCGATAGAGAATTTTACTTATCACAATATCCCTTTGTATTTTTTTTTTATGACCATGCAAGACTCTCGAGCGGAATCCTATATGGAAAGTCACGATTTGAAAAACTTCTTAAACGACTTAGAAGGTGGATTGCAACGTTACCAGCCGAACGATCCTTTGGGCTTTATTATTGGTTGCGTGAGATCTGTTCAACAAGTAAAGAGGGAGTCGAAGGAGCCGCTTTCGTACTCGGTAATTGTTCACCTTACCTTTTTTCGTTTGTGCTTACCCGTGCACTGCACTCTTTAACTCGGAAGTGTTGTGTCAAGCCACATAATCATGTCACTATGATCATACTAACCTGTATGCCATTCATCATCACTGCTAATTTTTAAACTCGTGTTGCGCGAACGCGTGCTTTACTGTTCACGTTACCAATCAATTCATCAATCGATCAACAATAAAAACGATGATCACGGCAATTCGCGACCTCCTCAATTTATCAAACTCCATCTTATCATGCGTCATCATAGAAACTCTTTGAAGAATACGCTGCCCAAAAATTCAGTACGATTGGTGTTATGAACGCCCATTTTAACGGATTTGCCTCGTCCAATTATCCTAGTATGTTCGACTTATTCTACTCATCACACCACCATCACGTCACCTCATCATTCTTGTTACTGAAATTTTCATCTGCTTTTCTTTCACGATTCAGCTGGACCTAACAATAAAAAACGTCATCGTTCCGAGGACGCATCGTAGGTTTCCATTTCTATCTGCCTGCTTTACCTTTCGCCTCTTCCTCTCAATCGTCAGCATCACACACGTTGATACAAGTTTGCTTTTTTCCCCAGTATGGAAATCAGAACTCCCCCCCACTATACTTCAGGGTCAAACTTTGATCAGCATGTTCCTCATCAGCATTTTGACGAAGATCAAGCTCAACGTCGCCCCATTTTACCTCCGTCCCCACCGAACAGTAATTTATCGGTCCGATTTGTCCGCAATCACATTGCATCCGTGGGTAGGCGCCGCCGTAATTCTGTGAGTGCCGAATCCATCAGTCCGTCAGGTGATCCCAATGATCGTAAGATCATCCCAAAATCCGAAGACACCATAAAACTCATAGAGGATGCGATCCTGCAAAACCTGTTGTTCAAAAACCTCGACCGTGAGACCAAACGTCAAGTGGTAGGTGTAGGCAGGCTCTCTTTCTTTCTTTCTTCCTTCCTTCCTTCCTCTTCATCTAATCTCGTCACATGACCATCAACTAATTTCATGGTTAAATGTCAATAGGTGGATGCAATGTCCGAGGTCATAGTGAGAAAAAATGAGACCATCATCACGCAAGGTGAGGTGGGCGACAACTTCTATGTTATCGAACACGGTCTTTTTGGAATATTTATCGACAATCAGTTTGTCCTTGAAATTGGTCATGGCAATAGTTTCGGGGAACTCGCATTGATGTATAACGTGAGTCATCTGACGAATCGGTTTGTTTCCATCAATTTTTCACTTCTAATTTCTCACGTGACCTAATGATTGTGATTGCTAGACTAATCGCGCTGCTACTGTAAAAGCAAAGACCGACGGAATTCTCTGGGCTCTCGATAGAGTTAGCTTTCATAAAACGATCACCAACCTTATGTACAAAAAACGAAAGACTTACGAAGCTATCCTAAAGTCCGTTGCGCTTTTTTCCAGCTTGGACTCATCGGAAATCACGAAACTCGCCGACGCCTTGGAACCTTGTGAATACGAGGATGGCAAGTCTATCGTTACCCAGGGTGAAACTGAAAGCTGTTTTTATGTCATCGAAAAGGGACGTGCGAGCGTAAGTAAAATCAATGAACATGGCATCAAACAATACCTACCGGATATCAGCGAGGGCGGTTATTTTGGAGGTGCGTCTGTTTCTCATTGATTGCTTCGCCGTTGATCTTTCTCACATGCTAACACGCCGTCCTTTGCTCCTCCTTCAACCTCAGAACACGCTCTCTTTGAAGATCAACCGTATAGAGAAACCGTCGTTGCACGAGGTCATGTTCGCGTTGCTGCACTCAAACGCGCCACATTCGTAGAACTCTTGGGCCCCATCATGGATATCCTCAACAGAAACGCCCAAGCATATAACATGAATGCCGAGAATAACAATAACTATTCTAGTAATTACGATTCTTCTTACTCCCCAGTACCCGAACCCGAACGTCCTTCAGGACCGCTTACCGATATTAACGTACCAAATCATAACGGTGGCAATGAAAGTATGGCTATTGACGAGGATTACTCGACAACTACTTCCGCCAGACCGTCGCGTACGATAAAAAGAAGCGGATACAGTGGGGCTGGTGGTGTTGACGTATTGAAATCGCAAATACAGTGATTATACTCTCTCTCACCTGGCCATTCCTGGGGGTGTGTGGATTCCTCGGTTTGGAAATTTTTGCGGGTTACGATTTTTCTTTTTTTCTTCCTATGTTAAAATAATGTGATGTTATATGTTTTTAAGTTATTTACTCTCCTATGATTCGACATAAGCTTTTTTTACTCTCCTAAGGTCATCTCTATGCAATTATTTCAAATTTTGTCTAACATTTCCAGACATCCCCTTTTTGGCTGTTATCTCACAGACCCACACATATCAAACGATTATTATTATTCGCATGTTAGCGGAATCTTGGTGAACTTTCATTACCACCTATATTCTTTCAATTATTTTCAAAAAAAAAAATAATTTTTTTTTCTTTATTTTTTCTTAACGCCCATAAATACATCAGCGCCCGGAGCTCTTAAATATAAAAAGATATATATATATATATAATTTTCTTATGCCCCGACGCAACGGCGTCGCATTTTTCACGTTCCCAACGGGGAACGTTTTCGTATACAAGAAATTTTTTTCTGTCGTTTCGTCGGGGACTTTCGTATTATTTCTCATCGCTTCACTTAACTGTATGAATTTTATTATTATTATTATTTTTTTTTTTTTGAAAAAAAAAAGAAATTTTTGGTTTTTGAAATAAAGGTTCCAATAAGCATTTATTTTAAGGTAATCAGGCGTGTTATCGCACGTCAGAAAAAAAAAAAGAAAAGAAAAGAAACGGATTTACCTTTGTTGTCATAGCTTATGTGCTACCAGCGTTTAATCTATTTATGGGGTGGTGTGAGAAAGTGCAAAGATCGAGGTCGGGAAACCCTTGGGATAGAAGAATCGATAACGAGGGTGGATGATCTCCGCCAAGATTTTATTTGCACGGAAGGTAAGTTGTGTGAGGACGAAAGAAGGAAGGATAAGAGGACAATACCTTTTGGACGTGAGTTAATCTTATTCTTTAATGATTACTATCTATTTTTCTTTTTTATTCATATTTTTGCTTTTTTTTCTTTTAATTTAATGATATCAATCTGTTCTGTCAATCGGGGGATGAGGATGGATCATCAAGAGAATAACTGTGAGTAGTCGGAAAAAAAATTTTTTTTTTTTTCTTAATCAAAAATAATGTTTGCACTTGCCGATCGCGCGATGAATCGGCTGGAATTTTTTATTAATTCATTTCGCAATTTCATGTAAGACGGTGAAAACAAATTCGGAAAAGAAACAAGGGTGTCCATTCGTTCGTCCATCACAATGTCACGCGAAGAGAGGTGACAGGGCCTCCACAAATCAATGGAGGGGGGGGGGGGAGAATTCGACCAATTGTGACCTGGACTGCTTTGTGTGGTGGTATCAGTAGATAATAGATACGATAGAAAGAACCAATAGAAAGATATGCGAACATCTAAGGAACGTGTCAATTTGACTTCAATTTCAAAAGTACGACGAAGCAATTTCCAGGCCAATTGTTTGTCAGCGCAGGTATTCCGTGATCCCGGAAATCATCCGCTTCTTTCATTGCAGAAGCATTTCTCGTAAGGATCAAAAGAAAAAAAAAAAAAAAAAAATTTTTTTTTTATCTAGACTAGGCATTTATATATCACGTCTAATTTTTTTTGGTGGCGCGGTGTGTAGCTTTACTAATCACACTACAAAGAAAATTTTTTATTTCGCAGTGAGACGTGACTCAGCATTGAAGAATGAAGTTACTGTTTGAGATGAGCATTGTTACAGTCCATTGGGTTGTGCTTAGTTTATCGGGTTCAAAAAAAAGCATTGTTCAAAATGACGATGATGCACGATTTTACTTGTTTTTTGACTCACGCACACGCACTACGCATTACATACACATTATCACGGAACAAGATGATTAGTTTGTTAGAAAAAAGAAAAAGAATAGCGTAGGTTGAGTAAAATGGATATCGACCACACCAAATATTACCCGTTTAAGAAAAATCTGTATTTTGGCAACAAAAAATTGTAGATCACTTTTGCGTACAGCTGCATCATCTTCAATAAAGTTTTTTTTTTATTTTTTTTTTTTTCATCGAACCCACGAGTAAACGAGCACCGGGTCATTATGATGTCAGCCGTAAATATGCGTATAAGCCTGTCTCATGAATAAACATCATTTTTTTGCTCGTGAAAAGAATATATAAATGCGAATGATTATTCGAATGCAACTCAGTGCGATTTTAGGATAGGTAAATAACGAGCGTACCGCTGATGAACACGTCTCATTCTTTTGCTGCGGCGTAATTCTGCTACCGCGCCAGAATTAATGTGAATTGGAATGACCACCCTAATTGGATTCAAACTACAAACCGAAAAAAAATTCCCGTAGTCTTTTTTTTTTCCATTTCTGTCATTCGTTATATATTCGGACGTCAATGCATTATTGTTAAGTTTTGATGTAGGCCTCTTATTGGTCAACATCGGTATAATGGTTTACGGGCTGGACGTATTACCGCCGAACGCGGAAGAAGCGATAATTTAGAATCAGCACATACTTCGCCAATTACAAGAGACATTCGAGAGATATGGAAATTTATTATCAACCGTTATTCAATCTCAAAGGCTGCATTTGACAATGATGATTTTTAACATATTTCGTAAGTAATCATTACGCTTATTCTAACCTAAACGAAGATGTTAGAATGGGACGATCTTCGCCATCTATTTCTTTATTTTTTTTGCTGTTGAACCATCTTTTGGCTTCATCCGTAAGAGATTTCGCTTTTTTTCGGTTTTACTAATCGTTTGAGATTTACCGTTCGCTTCCGGTGACTTTTTGGTTGCATTTGCTATGTCAAAAGTTTGCTGCGAACTATCACTATCCCCCGCATGTTTCCTTTTTTCGATTTGCACCTTTCTGATGGCCTGTGATTTTATTTCGGGTGCTTGATTCACGGAAACATTAGCACTTCGATTGGAAAGGTCACTCAGAGGTCTTCTTTCGCTTGCTTGCCTCTTGATAATTTCACTCAAGGACTTTTTCGTTTCGGACGAACGGTTTACTCTCGAATTTTTATTTTGGTTTGTAAGATCACCGAAAGGTTTTCTCTTCTCGGTGTGCTCTAGGTTGACAGGCTCTGCCATAGATTTTTTGACTTCCTTTGCACAACGATGTATTAGGGCCTTCTTGTTACGAGTTTGTGCACGACATGGTTCAGGAATTGACCGTGAGTTGCAGTCGGCGATCGTTGGCGCACATGTCAGAGTTTTTTCATTGTCGGCGTCCGCTATATGCTCGTCTTGAATGGTGCTCTGTATAAATAATATATTAATAATGATGATATCCGTGTCAAGTATATCGTACAACCTTAACTTCAAAGTTTTCTTCCTCATTGATTACCTTTGCGTGCATTTCGGAACTAAGGATATCGGTTGGCGGGGACGATGAGGAATCTTCAATCACATCCTTCATAATATATATGTTAAATCGTGTCCTCCTCCAAAAAGTATCATAACCATATCTCATTTTACCTTGGCATTATGTGCTTTCTTATCGTCCACCGCGTGCTTTAAGGTCGATTCTCGCGCTTTATGAAGAAACAAGGAACGATTTTCCTTATATTCACTAGCCTGTGCAACGATTGATCGGTTTTTGAATACTCGAATACATTCGCACGCAACACCGGTAAGGAGATGATAATAATAGCATGTAGCAACTTATAAACTTACAATTTCAACTAAAAGTGGGTCGTCTGGATTGGGTTCCGCCATCAAAAGACTTAAAGAAGTTAACGTAGTTGAAATATTTAAAGAAGGTTTCCAGGATCCCTGTGTTGATTCATGAAGTTCCTTTATATCATAGAAGAAATGAACTTATCTCACAGAAATAGAATATGATTTTTAGATATACGTTAGGTGGCATCTTCAATATATCAAGGCATATTCTTCCAACGTCGTCGATATTCGGATGGTAGATTGGTGTGACAAACTGCATTTTAGGCGGTTCCATGGGGTAGCTAATAAAAGTTTTAGCTTATTTAAAACGAATTACAAAAAAAAAAGTAGAAATTGCTTTCTACCGAGTAGGAATTTGCACATCTACTTTGAACATTCCTTCTTCATATGGCGTGTCCTTCGGTCCTTTGATCTCTATAAAATAATAAGGCGAAAACTTTAACTTGATTTTTTAAGAAGCGACTAATTTCTCATGAGCTAGCTACTTACGGGCACAAAAACGCACGAAACTATCATCTACTGGATAGCAAACAATGCCAGGCGGTGCATCCCGTTCCAAGATCTCTATTAGGGTTAAGTAGTCAGTTTATTGTTTAACGAGTTTCATTTTACCAACAGACGCGCACAAAAACTGAGTGACTCACCCAGTTCGCGCTTCATACGAGGGAGTAATTGACTTGACGACATTGCTTGAAAATTTAAACGTGCAATTATGCGAAAATTACGCGATTTGGATTCGATAAATAATAATTTTTTGTTGTATCACGTGATGTTGACACATATATACATACTGTAATATACTGTATATGTAGTTTCCTTCAATAAGTAATCAAACATAAAAAATGTTAAATATTTATTGTGTTTATTTAATCTTTGGAAAAAAAACATAATGGTATATAATTATTTATATATAACCTATTTTTTTATATTTAAATATTTGTTTTTACTAGACACCCCCTAGAAGATTTTCTTCATATAATAATGAATATCTTGCACTGGTGTTCATCAAACTGCATCATGGAAATAAGAAGTAACAAAAAAATTCTTCAAGAAGTATTCAACTACCCAAGAAGATGACAAAAATCAACTTCACTCCAATAATATTAAGAATCAATAAACTAATATAAGATAAATCAATCCAAATCAGATATATCAGTCCCAAATTCAATCCAAGATTTGATGACACTTTTCAATGGATTAAACTGTCACTTCACTTCTCTGAAAGTCCTCTAATCAGCAATCTGCAGTTAGGCAGCAGTGTCAGATGGTGCAAGAAAATCCTAAGTATTACCAAGACCTATATAATCTGTGAAAGCTTATCAGTTCTAAAAACATTTGGTTACATCTACAAACTCCACGGCCTCAAAATCATTAATAAATCCAATTAAAAAATAAAGAATTTCAAAGCCAATAAGTACAGTGATTTCATCACCTTCAGAATCAAATTGCTCTTAGGAACTCTCCTTATAAGAAAAAACTTCCACAAACTATATCCAGAACAATATCCTAATCTATATTGTTCCCAGTGCAGTTTATACACCGAGAATATCAAACATGTCTTCAAATGTCTATCAGTTTCAGGAAATATTAGCCAACTTATCAATACCATCAACAATATTTTTCATTCCAATAGTAACCATAAGCCAATCTCATATGCTTGGCAACTAGCAGAACTGGCATATGATATTATTAACAATATCTTCTTCACTACCAACTTCTCCAACTGGGTTGAAGCCTCAACCGAGACCTTAACTCATCTATATAAATCAATCTGGATATTCCGCTGCACCATAGCAAACACTTTTCTTCTTACTGGTATCAAATGGAACAATAACTTCTATAGCAACATATCAAAACAAGTGACCAAAAACTCAACTAAATCCAAATCTCTCAATAACTCCTTTACTTCAATATCAACTACTATAGATTTACCTACATTAGTGGCTGATTCTTATATCCAAAGCAGATTTAATTTTACTAAGTGTATTTTCAAATTAATTTCAGATTATCTTAATTTTTTTTCATCTAATGCTGAATAGGTAATTATAGTTGCTC